ATGAAACTGAGCAAACTCAGGGAGGCAGTGAAGGACAGGAAGGCCTGGCGCAATATGGTTCATGGGGTCACGAAGAGTCGGACACGACTTAACGACTAAACAACAACAACAAGGGTTTCTGTAAAAATAATCTTACATTCTAAGTGATATGGTATAGAAAAAAGGACTGGGGATGGGGAAGAAGAAGGAAAACAAGTATACATAAAATACTCAGGTACATGGATATTAACTGGCCAGTTTGAATGGAAGGGACTGAACAAGATGTCCAGTTGACTCTAACATCCTCTAAGCATAGAGTCTTGTTCTTCTTCAAGGAGCAGTTGAGTATGATAGCCTCCAAGAGGACACAGAAGAAGTTCAATCCTACTGGTAGTAGTAAGCAAAGACAGTAGTTTTTTGCTGTCTGCTTTCAAATATTCAAGATTTTACCCTGCATTATTTAATCTTAATCCTTACAATACCCCTATGCTGTATAGCTATCTTGTGTTTTCATCCTTTGTATTGCACATTTAGAGGGTGACACCAAAAGATGCTTGCTTAAATGCCATCTAGTGAGTTTATGCCAAGATAAAATTGCACTTTATTATTTGCATCTTAATCTCTACATCAGTGTTTCTCAGCATGGCTGGCTGGGGAATTCTGGGAGGAAGTCCACAAGTCTTAAAGTTGCTAAGGCTGAGAAATACTGTTCTACATGCTTTATTACACTGGTTCTCAGGTTACCAATAACATGTAGAGGGTTCTCTACGTGTTATTAACAGATTAATTGTTTTATCTGTTTCTAATGATGCTGTGCACCTCAGTGATAGGCAAGATTGCCATGACAAATCAAACCTAAGCACAACTGATGACACAATTAAAGTAAAGCTCATGTATTTTTAGACTCAGGGATCTGCCTCAGCCAAGCCACAGGACCAGTTAAGTTACAAGATTCAAGATAATCCTCCTGAATTGTGCTTCGTGACAGTCTTACATAAAGTATCAAGCCTATGGGAATTGAACCCTTCAAATACAGAGATGCAATTTTGTATTTTTCCTAGAAGCACTTCCCACAACTGTACAGGTAGTCCTCAAGTTACATCCATTTGTTCAGCGACCATTCAAAGTTATGATGGTGCTGAATGAAGGGACTTACAACCAGTCCTCAAAGTTCCAGCCATTGCACGTGAACAAAATTCGGGCGCCTGGCATCCAGCTCACTCTTACAACCAATTGTAGCATCCTACCGTCACATGATCACTATTTGCGACATTCCCTGCCAATTTCCCACAAGTTAACTCAATGGGGAAGCCAGCAGGGAAGATTGCATGTCACTCTGGTAAGTCGCTCCCACTTTTTCTCCCAGCTGCAGCACTCTCCCGTCCATGCCAGCCCTTCTAGGCCCTCCCCTGGCCTCCTGCAACTTGTGCACGGCTTGCACAGGCCCTCCCAGGCTTTCCCCTGGCTTCCCGTGACTCACATGTGGCCTGCACCAGCCCTTCCAGGGCCTTCCATGTACTCCCCCCACATGTCACCCTCATGCTCCTTACCTGGGACTCTTGCCTCTTTCTGCTTAATGACCCACATGTCTTGGGGTTACGACAGCAACTAGGACTACCCAAGATTGCCATCACTAGGTGATGTGGTCATGTGATGTCACGCTTTACAACCATATCACAGTAGCAATCCCAGTTCCAATTGCCGTCAAAACTCGAGGACTACCTGCAATTACTAATCAATATATATATTCCTTCTCCCAGAAAACTTCTAGGCCTATATTTTGGTAACATTATAGCAAAAAGTAGGCTAACTACAGCTAGGGTTGCTATTCCATAGGGAAATATTTTCCTAGTATACATACATCAATAAAGTCTTTATGCGTTCCACTGGTAACGTATCTAGAATTTCCAAGGATTCCACTAAACTAAGAAGTGTACTCACAGCTTGACAAGCCACAAACAAGTTTCCTGGGAAAATGAAAAATAAATTGTATCTTAATCTATATGCCCATTTCGAAAACAGTTTAAAAATTATAAAAATAAAATACAGTATCACTTTAGTTTCTTACAAAACACATATACCAGCTGTAAAATATGTACATTTTTGTTATATAAAGTTATGGAGAAGATGGACAAATATGAAAAAATATTCACTCAATTTCATATGGTAAAATAAATGCACAGTCTTCTAACATATTGCTTAGATATGATTACCAAAGATCTGGGCAAGCCACTGTTGGTTTGGATCATAGAAGCTGAAGCCCCACTAGATTAGGAAAGATTTCTTTATACAGTCTTTGGCTTAAAAATGCCCAGTTTAAGGATGACCCATAGTTAAAAACAGAGCCTACTGTAGCAAA